ACACACACACACACACACACACACACACACACACACACACACACACAACCAGTTAGCATTGTATCATTGAAAACCTTTCTTTACTCTTGTTTCCAGCTTCCCTGTGGCCTCTACTTAGAAAACCTAGCTTCCAACCTTCTGAAAATCCTCTTAGTTAACAGGCAGACTAAACGATTCTTGTTTGACAATACTTAAAAAGGTTTTGAAGGTTTTCAGAAGAACTAGAGGCTCTGTAATGCTATTTAGCAGGCAGGGACTAGGGATGGGTTAATAACCCACCGTGCACAGGGCAATGATCGTTTCCCTCGGAATGTCAGCGGCAGCCACATGAGCAGTACAGAAAGCCGTGACAGCATTCTTTATAGAGCTGGCCGCAGACATAGGAGAGCTTGCTACCTGCCCCAGCCTGCTTTACAGGCCTCACATGTAGTAAATAAATCCTGTCTACCGTCATTCGGTCTTCCTGGCTATCACTTCGCTGTCCCCCTCACCTTACAGATAGGAGCTTCAACAAGCTGCCTGTCACATTTTGAGTGCAGAGAGAAATGGACTTAGTTGACTCAGAGAGCACCCAGCCTCGACCCCGCTCATTGGGCACTTTAAATCATGCCTTTGACCTTCAGTGTGACTCAGCATTGACTGAATAAGCATGCCTGTCAGGTAGTAAGATCTGGATGTAAAATGCCTTGTTCAATACTCACTGCGTTTGTTTGAGAACCAAGACTTCCATCTCAGGAGATGGTGGGTGGAGTCGATGCTCTGAGTTTCTCTCCCAGACTGAGGGAGTCAGTGCCTCCTCAGAGCAGGAGAGCTGCTTCTACATAGCTGGGGAGCTACTGCATTCTGCGGAATTAGTGGGTCTACCCGGCTCCACTTCAGACTCCAGCCATATTGACTTAATTACAGTCACTAGAGCTATTGGATATTTTCATGCATTAAGTTGTTTATCTGGAAATTAGCCACAGAGCACCCATGCTTGAATATAGCAAGCTAAGAGCAAGAAGGATCACTGAATGATGAACAGTTACTGAAACTGCATTTGCTTTTGCCCATGAAAGTTGGTGTTCTTTTTCACAGGGTATTTGTTCTTTAAACTGTCAATGCATTGATACAATATATTTTGCTCATACTCTTCTACCACTGACTCCCAACAACTCATTGGAAGAATAAAGTCAAAAATATATTCTTCTAACTTTAATAAAGAGAATTTAAACAATGCACAAATAAAAAGACACTTTGAGAGTCTCTAAATGTACATCTTCTAGCAAAGAAAACATGCAAGCAGCTGTAGACTCTTGGAAGATGTCTCAGTCACTGAGACAGCAGTATGTACTTGCCTGTTTATCGTGATCCCTGTGCTCAAAAGAGGGGAGGTTTCTGGACAGTTTATTCAGATACTACCACTGGCTTCCTTAGGTTCGGAGCTGATGGATTGTTTTTGGAGGACATGTTTATTATTTTAATTTTTTTTTTACTCTGGACGTGAAGTATGTAAGATAAAAACAAAGGTAATAAGCAATTTAAAAGGGGCGCAGAATCAAAGAGAGGGCAATGGAGTAAATACAACTAAGAGGGAGGAAGGAGGCCAGGAAGAGGAGTAACAGTGGGGAAGGTGTGTGTGTGTGTGTGTGTGTGTGTAAATGGCAAAGTAACAACATCAGGGGAAGGACCAGGCTGGCAAGATGGCTCTACAGGTAAAGACACTTAATACCAAGTATAACAACCTGAGTTTGATCCCTATGGACTGACATGATAAAAGGACAGAACCACCTCCCAAACTTGTCCTCTGACCTCTATGTAAATACCTCACTGCACTCTAAATACATACAATGAGAATATTTACAATTATATTGTATATGTTACATATAGTGTATATCTAAATACTATACTATAAATACTATATACTGTATATAATACATATACTATAAATACTATATAGCTGTGAATATATATACTTTGTAGTATATACAGTATTATATATGGTGACAAGGAAGGAAGCAACCCCTCTGCTCCTGTCTTTGCTGTTTTGGGTGTCATTTCCCTGGGGAAATGGATGTCTGCCACCTTTCAATCTAGCTCCCTCTTTCACACCAAGGCTCAGCACGTCAGGAGGGAGGGTTTTTATGGAACTGAGAAAAAGAAGTTCAGAAAGCTGAGACTTTGTTTTTGATGTGAAGTCACAGACTGCATTGCCGTTCTCGTTTCCAAATGATGCCCTAACACATCGCATGCACAGAGGAGTCAAGAACTGTTTCGGGTTTTGTGTGCGGAATTTAACCTTTCCCTTTGTACCTTTGGAAATGTCTCGTTCTTGTTCTTTTAGGAAAATGCGTATAGAAAGTATTTTGAGTTGTAGACTAATGTCTCCTTTTTTTTTTCTTTAATAGGTTTTAAAATGGAACATTTTGATGCGTCACTCAGTACCTATTTCAAAGCATTGCTAGGCCCCCGAGGTAAGGCGGCTTTTGGTTTTATTCACCATCTATGGCTCCCCTCCCATCTCTTTATAGCTCCTTGTAAATATTGCATGAGGAGAGCTTAGAAAACGTTTTCTCTGATGAGATCAAAACTTTATCTCCAATAACAAGCGACCTTGCACAGTTCTCTGGCAGTTGAGCGCTAGGTATCCCTTGGCTCTTGAGACAGAGACTCGGCTGCTCTGGACATCTTTCTGCTGGCTTCCGTTTGCAGCCCAGGAATACCAGTGACTTAGCGCCGATTGACAGTGGCGCGCTTTTCTTAAATCTTCACTCTCTAGAGGAAGCCAAACCAGGGCGTTCTCAACACACTCAGCCTGAGGATTAGTGTTCCATCCCTTGCAGGGGTCTGAGGGCCTCTTTCCTCTGAAAGCTGTGTCTTGATGGATCGCCCAGGCTGGCCTCGAACGCCTGGGATCCTCTTGCCTTGGCTACCCAGACAGATACAGTGCGAGGCATGGAACCTGAGGCTTCCGTGGAGTCAGTGTGGGTCTCAAGCTCCCATAGTGCTCTAAATACTTTCACTCAGTGGTTCTCAGCCTGTGGGTTGTGTCCCCTTTTGGGAGGGGGTCGAGCGACCTTTTCACAGGGGTCACATATCAGATAGCCTGCATATCAGATATTTACACTACAACTCATAACAGTAGCAAATTAACAATGAAAATAATTTTATGGTTGGGGTCCCCGCAACAGGGGGAATTCTATTAAAGGGTCACAGCGCTAGGAAGGTTGAGAACCACCACCTTAAATAGTCCTGTCTGATCGCGGCTGAGCCAGTAGCATTTTGTTTTCGCTTGTTGGCCCTCTACTGCCGGCCTTGTAGTTGGGCACAGTGTCCCCAACTTGGCTAAAGGGCACGTTGCTTGTACCTGCACATTCGAGGCACCTGCTGAGCAGACTGCCATCTCCTAGGTGTCATGACTTCGTGTTAATTCAATAAATATGAGGTTTGGTGGGTAATCTAGCTTCCTCGGTTTCTTTTTTCAGATTTTTTGAAAGCATGTCTACCGTTTTACATAGCAAAATATGAGTAATAAATGATTCTAACCCCAGCTCAGAAAGCTTTGCCTTTTTTGTATGTATTTGTATGTCTTCTGCCTTGTGCAGGCCAGATGCAACATGAGACTCCCGTGGCTTTGGAAGTGGGCTTTCTTAGGTGTACTTTGTTAATGACCAATTTCCTTCCGGTGCCTTTCAGATGCAAGAGTGAAAGGATGGTTTCTCCTGGACAATTACATACCCACATTTGTCTGCTCTGTCATTTATTTACTAATTGTATGGCTGGGACCAAAATACATGAAGAATAAGCAGCCATTCTCTTGCCGGGGAATTCTAGTGGTTTATAACCTGGGACTCACCTTGCTGTCTCTCTATATGTTCTATGAGGTAAGTCGGTGGCGATGAGGGTTTCCTTCCACCAAGCTGTACTGCTGTTGCTGTCCTGAGTTGTGTCCCTAAGTGAGGAAAGGCACCCGATTCACCTGGGGAGGGAATGGGACAGAGTCTGTTAATGATCTTAAAAAAACAAAAACAAAAAAACAGTTGTTTGCACAGATTATCTTTTAGAATGCCTAAAGTAGAAGCCTTTGTTATTCTTTTGTTACTCATGTTTCTTGTCACATTCGGAACTGAACAGAATATCTTCAGAAACATTTTTACGCATGTAAAATAAGAGCTAGAAAATGAACAAGATGTGAAAAGCAGATCTTGTTTTTAAGTGCTTGATAAACTTGTTTCTTGTGTGGAGGTGGAGAAGGAAGGAAGTGGGTGGTACCTTGGTAAATTCTGTGGCAATTCAGCCTTTGTTCTGATCTGTTAACTTGTCAAATCTTACAAGTTTTGTTTTTAAAATTTTGCTGTACATTTTCATTGTACATGGCACTGCGTTACATGAGGGGTACACGCAAACAGTGTGTATTACCTGATTTTAAAAGCTTAGATGAATGGTAAGATCCTTGTTTAGACTCATAATAGTCTATGTCCAGGCTCAATAGATTTCTTTCTTTCTTTCTTTCTTTCTTTCTTTCTTTCTTTCTTTCTTTCTTTCTTTCTTTCTTTCTTTCTTTCTCTTTCTTTCCTCCTTCCTTCCTCCCTCCCTCCCTCCCCCCTCCCTCCCTCCTTCTCTCCCTCCCTCCCCTCCCTTCTTCCTTCCTTTCTTCTTTCCTTTCTTTTTTGGTTTTTTAAGATAGGGTTTTTCTGTGTAGCCTGGGCTGTCCTGGACTCACTTTGTAGAGGAAGCTGGCCTCAAACTCACAGAGATCTGCCTGCCTCTGCCTCTCTGGTTGCTGAGATCACAAAGGTGTGCCACCACACCTGGCCCCAATAATTTCTTTTACATGACTAGCATGTTCAAATCAGGTGTTTTGGCTTCAAAGGCAAATAATCAAAATCAACATTTCAGTTCTTCGTATTTTCAAGGAGAATTAACACAGCCCATAAAGCCAGGAGGAAAGGAAAATGTTGTCCCCTATTGGTAAGCACAGTTTGTCTGTGTCTTTGGGGAAGACTCTGTATTTTCCAGACTCACATTAACCTATTGTTAAATCCTCTTGCACAGAGGATTCGTATCTACACACAGAGTGGACACATTCAGGTACTCTCAGTTAGGCGTTATTGCAGCTTTCATTCTCCAGGGGTAGGAAAGGAGAGGATGGCGTAGGGGAGGGATGAACAGCAGGGGTGACTTCTGTCTTATAGACTGCTCAGGGCTGTGAGCCAGCAGAAACCACAGTGACCACTGGGGGATGCAGCTGAAGATCTTGTCTCCTCGTGTGTGTGCTGCTCTGCCAAGCTGTAGATGGTGTGACTGGGATGAGAACAGCAGTAGCATTGCTCTTATCTTTAACACCCAGAGAAACGCTTGCAATGCATTTGGTTATTTTGTCTTGTCTGTTTCCCCTTTTTCTGTCTCATGAAGGCCATTTAGCCTCCAAGATGGAAGATTGCAGGCCTAGAGGCAGGGCCAGTGCACGACCAGGGACTCCTGGCTGCAGCAGCTGTCAGGTTCCAGAGCGAACTTTTCTCTCACATAATAGATGGTAGAGCCATTTCTTTAAGGAAGCTTCTGTAGACTTGAATATTATATGTAGTCTGTTCTAGGAAAAAAAAAAAATAATGTAAGGTGATTGAATTTTAGAGAACCTGAGTGTTTGCCCAACGCATAGCTATGATGTTGTTGTTTAACTTTGTACTCAGATATCTCAGAGGTAAAGAGAAGAAAATCACTGTATAAACTGACATTTTGTGCATCAGGTTAGGGACTTCCAGACAGCCTGTCATCAACCCTCTGTCGGCGTGGTGCAAATGATGGAGAGCTTTGAGATAGACAGAGGGAAATCCCACCTTCACTCAAGCTTCCATGATACGCAGGGCCGCGGGCAGCAGGAAGCTGTTACTTAGATTAAGTCAGGCCGCACACTCAATCAGATCACTTAAGCCTGGGAGAGAAGGCCTCATCACAGCAGCGTGATCGTCATGTGTGATTGTTGTTTCCGTTCTTCCCTAGACTCCTCAGTGATATGACTGTAGTGGTCCCTTGGCAGGTCTGGGATTTTGGTTCAGGTCCAGGTTTTTTCCTGGATCGAGCATTTATATTCCATTGACTCTCAAGACACAGTAGGGCGGCTGTGAAGCCTCCAGCTAATCTGAGGAGACTGTGAGGCACTTGGGGTGCAGTACTGCTCTCCAGTTACCTTCCTACTTAGGTACATATTTGAAGCTGTAAAGAATTTTTAAAACAAATATGTAGTCATTGGTATTTTTGTTTATTAATTGCAGATCTGCCTTGACAAGTTCTGCTTCAATACAAGGGAGAGTAATGGCCACTTAAAGGAAATACCGATGAGGAAATGAAAGAGGAGCCACAGAAACAGTAAAGGGAGTGGAATAAAAATAACTCAATCAATTTTGAAAGTGAAACTTAAGTTCAAAATGTAGAAGGAATATAGGTATATTTATAGTTCGTGCATTCGGTAGGGGGGAAAGTTAAGAGGGGAAAAGAGGTTGTGCTTTTATTTATCTCAGTGACCTTACGATTTCTCCGGGAAAGGGCCAGACATTCCTAATTTCTACGTGTATTGGAGATACGGAGTGTATTGGTTTGAAAGTATCAGGTGCTTTAGGCTCTCTCTCCTCGTTGATGTAGGCACCATCTGACATCCCAGACGGTGGTGAAGGTCTGAGTGAGATCCCAAGTTGTAGAAGAGAAGCCGTTTGCCTCAGTTACTCAGCACAGCGAGACAGAAGCACAGAGTGGATGTGCTGTCTCCCCTGTGAGACTGTGCTCTGCCTGAGCGGTGCCTCTGTTTGTGAGGTACCCATGGCGGTCTTCTTTGTCAGAACCCCATGATGGTACATTCTGAACATCAGCTTGCTTGATTGAACGAGGAATCACCCAGGCCCTAGGATGTTAGGGCATTAGTGAGGCATACTTTTGGGTGTGTTTACAGAGAGTTTTTTTTATCTGAGGGAAGACCCATTCTGACCCTGGACGCCAGTAACCCTGACCTGATTAAAAAGCAGGGAAGGAGAAGGCCAGATGAACAATGATGCCTTCCTTTCCCTGCTTCCAGAGTGAAACAAGCCTCTGACCACCAGAAGGGAATGCATTCTCTGAACTGAGCCCGAGTAAACGCCTCCTCCCTGGAGTTGCTTTTTTGTAAGGCTAAAGGAACCGATAGAAACCCGTGGCTTCAAAACACTGAGTGGCTTTCCCTTGCTCTGTTTCTATACCAGTTGGACCTGCTGCATTTCCCCAGCCCAGCAGCAAGCTAGCAAACCGACTTCTGAGCCTCTGTTACAGTGTTACACACAGTGTCCCTCTCAGGCAGCTGCTCAACTCAGACACTGAGCTGTTTTGATGTGTCTGCTCTTTTCCCTTTATGCCTCTGACCTCTGGTGCCCTGCACCACTGAGAAGATCTAATTGTGTGCTTTGATGTAGTCCAAAAGGGCTTGTTCGTCTTGCTCAGTCTGTGCTTCACTCGCTGATCTGGACTCTGGAGCAGCTGTCAGGGAGCAGGGTCAGCCTTTGCTTCACCCCAGGGATGCTCCTCTTTGGGGGGATACACTCTGAGCTCCGCTAGGCTGTCCTGCTCAGCAGTGCCTAAACCCCACCAGCACAAGCTGTTTGATCCTTTCTTCCTGCCCCTCACCTCTTCAGTACCTCTGTTCCGAAGCGAAGTGCTTTTGTGGTGTTCCCATCAACGTCCCGTTATAGCCCAGCCCAGACTCGCAGATCACTGGCTTCTGAGATAGACACCTGTAACGAAAAGCTATCCCGGTATAGGAATAGGGAAAAGGCAAAGGTCAGACCATGTTTTTATACTAGTTCACAATCAGACATAAATTATAGGTTATAAACGGTTACTTTTTAAGTATGTTTTTTTTTCTCTGATAGTTGTGTATAGAACTGTATGTTGTTTAAAAAAAAAATGTGACCAAATTATCTTTCAGACATTTAGAACATTTAAATTTTTATGTTAAAAAAAAATTCTCAAGAAGACAGACCTGGTTTAGTGTAAATTTAAACTTACTCTGTATTTCTTTCCTCCAGCAGTGGGATTACATAATGTATACTGTTAAGCCTAATGGTTCTCAGGGTCCAAATTCAGGTCCTCGGGCTTACTGAGCAAGAGCTTTACCAACTACGCTATCTCCTCATCTCCTGACTCAGATCTCTAAAGAACTGGTACTCGAAGCTGGGCATGGTGGCACAAGCCTGTCGTAGCAGGAGGATTGGTTCATAGTCATCCCTGACTCCAGAGCAGGTGTGAGGCCAGCCTGAGATACGTGAAACCCAGTCTCAAAACCGTAAAAAATACCCTCCGGCTACATCTTCTGAGGTCGTGCTTCTGACGTATGATTTAGCCTATGCTAATTCTTTTGTCTGTTAGGGCAGAAGTGTTTGCTGAATGTCCCAGATAAGCAGCATTGCCGGGGTTATATAAGATGAGTGTCTTCCCCCAAGCATCTGAAAGATTATGGTAGAACTTAAATACAGACTTCTAAAGAACAACTAGGAGGTAGAGCCAAAAAAAAAAAAAAAAAAAAGGAAAGGAAAGGAAAGGAAAGGAAAGGAAAGGAAAGAAAAAGCTTAACCTTCCTGGTTGACACTGGCAGTGGTAGAGCTGGGTGTGCATTAGGCTCTGTGTGTTCAACCTGGGTGGCTCCTGCCTCTGTTGAGGTCGCCAGGAACTCATACTCCTGCTTCTTTGAATTGTGCCTTGGAAATCCTGTCGCTTTGTTGGGAAGATGGAAGAGGTAGAGTTTGCTGTACTGGCTGTAGTGCTGGAGTCTCCCGTCCTTTGTAATTGGGGTCTGCTAAGCCCTTCCCAAGGCACGTCTGGGCCCTGCCTTGTTTGGGGTTCCGAATGTGGCCTGGGAGCA